CCCCCCCCGTCCTCAGGGGAACAGACCCAACATGACCCCAGGTCTCTCCATGCCTCTGCTGCTCCACTGTCTACACTGGGGAATTCCAGTCCCTCCGTTAGGCAGTACTGGTGGTGCAGGCTGTGGCCTCCCAGCTATGATAATGTTTAAGGTATAAACAGAATGGCTCCCAAACTGAAAAATTCAATACATTTTAGATCATATCTACAAAACGTAAGATTATGACAACTGGCCAACCACAGTTCAACTCAGATGCAGCCAGATAGATTCCCAAGATGGAAAGTAGGGATAACTTCATTCTCAAAGTGATCCACACAATTCCTGTACTTTTCATTTAAGAACATAGGGAATGTTGGTAATGTTCCCTCCCATCTCCAAGTGAAGGTGGGAACGTAAGACGAAGCTAAAGGGACAGCAATGCCTGTGGAACTAGCTCTGACCAAGGAGGACTGGGTGGGAGGGCTGCTTGGTGATTCTCCCACCCCCTCCCTCCTATGGCCTGTTTGGAGCGACAGCATTTTTGCACAGCCTGTGTCACCAAGTGGCCAGCCGGGACACATTAACCTTGTCTTGCCCCATCTCCCTCTTCCCTCGCCTGTACGGCCCTGGACTCTACCTCCTGATTCTTTACCGGCAATTAATAGAGGCCTGTGAACCCGTTTCCCCTGTCGTTGGGGTAGAGGGTAATAACCTCACTGTGACTGGGAACTGACCCCTTCACTCCCCCTCTAGATCTTGGCAGAAGCAGCTCCAGAAAACATTTTTGCTAAGTGCTACTCTGTCATCGAAAGCCTGCAGTGAGGCTGGAGGGGGCTGGGGGCTGATGCTCCCCTTACCCCCAAACCCACACAGGGCTCCGAAGGGGGCACAATGCCTGGAAGGTATGGAGTTTGAGGGGAACCTGGGGTTCTGACTGTCCACATGACCCCAGAGCAACAGCATCCCCCTTCCTGGACTACAATGACACAAGGTGGGCTGAGGGCCACCAACTAACACTCCCATAGAGGCAGATTCCTAAAAACATGGAAGGTCACTGTTGCTGGCTCCTGCTTGGTGCTGCCATTTAAGCCCCTGGGCCCAGACACCCAGATTCTGAATTGCAACCTGATTTTTAAGTGTTGGTATTCACCCGGAGAAGTCCTGCCATACAGTATGCCTCAAGATGACTGTACCTGGGCCACAGTTCAAGTGGCCCCTCAGTTCACCATCCCATCTCATCCTTGGGAGGCCATGGCCTACCACCAAGCACTGGAACCAGCACCATTTCCTTGAACAGGCCAGGTTTCTTTAATGAACCAGGCCACAGCGACACAGGTAGCAAGGCCAGGCCGACTCCTGTGAGGTAGGGCCGTGGGTTTGCTGTGGTGGCAGGCTGCATCCATGGGAACGCCTGTCCCCAGGGATCATCCTGGGTGCCCTGCTCCCCAGATTCCCAGAGGGAAGAACAGGGTGGGGGAGCCCGTGGCAGCAGGCCATGCAGCCTGCTTCTCCCTTCGTGCAAGGCAAAACGAGAGGGCAGAGTCTTTGGAGGCCGATACCCAACTCTTTGGCCAAGCCTTGTTCTTCTATAAACACACTGCGGCCAGCATGCAGTTTTAGACAAAAAGCACTTTATTTAACAAAAACAAAAACAAAAAAAATAATGGGCGGGAGGGAGAAAAAGTTATAGGAAAGCACAACGTGCCTGCAGAAAACTATTTTCTCTTATAATTGTTTTCTTAAAAACAAAGAAAAAACACAACACAAAGCTTGTAACTTCCAATCACTGTTATCAGGCTTTTACAACATCTATAAAGAACAAACATCTGCTTCAAAACTCTACAGGGTGGAGAGACAGAGAGAAATAGAGACGGCACCCAGCAGACATGGGGAGTTTTTGTTATCATTTATTTGTGAAGTTAAAAACGAGCGATAAAAAGTAAAAACTGCCATACAATTTTTTTGTTTTGTTCTCAATGTTTTCAGTTTCAATGTCCTCTTGAACAGATGAAACACAACAGACCAGTCCTGGGAGTGGGGGCGCGGGAGGGGCCGAGGGAAGCCAAGCAGAACGGAAGGAGGAGCGAGAAGAGGAGCAGAGAGGCTGAGGGGCTGGACTGATGGGGGTGGGGGGGAGAGGGTCCCGCAATATCAACACCTGGTCCAAGGAATGTTCCAACTCTAACTAAAAAAAAAAAAAAAAAAAAAAAAAAAGAAATAGCAAGAGTGACTTGTTTTCCTTTTGAGAAGTTTATTTTAAAAACATGAAGAGGGCCAAGGGTGGTAGGGAGAAAATGAATTGCTTTCCCCTGAAAGAGGCAGTTTCAGGAAGGCTGAGGGCGGGGGGAGGTGGTATAGAGATTTTTATATATATACATATATATATATGTATATATATAAAAATGTAATTTTATAGGTTTTATTTTGCTTTTTGTGTTTATCTTAAAAAAATTTTAGTTTTTGGCAGAGATTTAGTTCTCGCTATCTTCTATGGCTGGCTCAACATGAAGGATCCCAATTTTGAAAGGAAAAAAAAAAAAAAGGATGTGAGACACACACAATGAGCAAGAGCGCAAAAGCCGGGCACTGACCTCCAAGCCGCTCACAGAGAGGGCTCCCCTGCACACCCCCCACCCCGTCATGGTAGCCATCGCTCTCTCACCAAACAGGAAAAAAAACAAAAAAACAAAACAAAAAAAAAAAACCCCAAAACAAAATAAAGCCCCCGAACAAAACAAAATGAAAAAAATAATACAAGAATTTTCACAGATGAAGAAGTTCACATTCATTCGATTCATTGAGCCTGCGGAGAGGGAAGAGATAGGAATTGGTCACTCTAGGGAGGGGAGGCAGGGGAGGGAGACAGGGACTGTGGCAAGGAGGGGGCCAGGAAGCCCCTCTCCCGGGCCAGTGGCTAGCAGAATGTGTCTGTAACTGTCTAGTCAAGTGCTCCAGGAACTTGGCTGAAGTCAGACTGGCTCCTTGATTGAAGAGGAGAAAGAGCGACACAAAAGCAAGGCGGAGAGAAGCAGGGGCCGCAGAGAGGCAGAGAGAGAGAGAGA